GCTCACAGGCGGCCCGGCCCGCGCCGAGGGAGGGCGCTGGGCTGTGGCCGAAAGGACGGTGGACGGGGGTGGCCCGCGCGCTGGCCGCCCAGCAGGCTCACGAACCGGACAGCGGGAGGAGGCAAAACGACCGGAGACGGCGTTCTCGGCGTCCACCGACTCCTACAGTAACGTTCCCACAGCTCATGCCGGAAGAGTCCATTTTATTCCGTGTCACATACAGACAGTTGCCACGTATTCCCTTAACACGACTATTCTTTTATAACAATTTGGTGTCTTCATAGTGCTTTTCTGTCAGATCCTGAACTGCTTTCATTTTATCCACCTGCTATCCAAAGATGACATCAGCCTCTGACCACAGGTGGGTGGAGTGGTGCGTTATGCACTGCTGTGGCAGAAAACATTTATTTTTCTGCTTAAGTCTCCACAGAAAACATTTTCGCATACAGATCGAGTAACACATTCTTAATATTGTACTGCCTTTCACACAACATCTTATGGCATTGCTCTTGAACTATTTTGTATTTACACCACCTGTTACCATGCTCGATCGAAGGAAGTAACAAAGCTGAGACTGGAGACAGAATCTGTAAACCTATGCCCAATACCGCCCTTAGCAAAGAAGTTTTACAAATGTTCTCAGAAACCAGCCAACTGTTCTCAGTAACGGCGAGCCCTCACTCCATTATGTTCCCTTTGCTTTAGGGCAGAAATTCAGAAAGTCAGGAATACTCACAGAAGGTAAATCATTTTGGTGCCACGATACACGTTCAACTTGCTTGACACTCCGTATGAACTTGCTGTTTACCACCCAAGTTTCTTCATACAGTGTCATTCTAAATTCCTGTATCGCCATGCAGATGCTCATCGTCCTTTGACCCATTAAGAACAGTTGTCACTGCAGTTGCCAGTTTGTGACTTACACGTTTGACATTGGTATTTTCAGCTGTTAATATTTAGTTTAAGACATCAGTTATTTCTGCTTTTAAACACCAAAACATTTTTGTCACAGAATTCACTGAATAGTTTTGAAATAAGTCATCTAGAGTAAGCTGTGAATTCTGCTTTTGATTGTACAGTTCTAATCTGCAATAATTAAATGAACTACCAAACAGGCAGAAATAATGTGCAAGTTACATAGTTAATAGTTTAAACACGCAGATGTTTTACAAAAATTCTAATATGATGAGTTTTCCCTAGAAAAGAAAGTCACCAATTTAAAAGAACAGAGAAGTTTCTCAAAAGAAAAAAAAATTAAGTACGTCACTAATTTCAAGCTAATTTAATTAGCTCAAAGGTTCATTGTTTTCTTGAGGTGCCAATTTGGAACACAAAATGTAAATATATATATTCAGGGAAATTAAATCCTCCTTAGACAAATGGTTCATGTAATAATGGACATGATGGACTGGAAGGAAGGGGGGGGGTGACGACAACACAAAAAAAACCCCAAAACAACAACAAAACCAAAAAACAACTTGTCTGGAATTAATCCAGATAAGCCTTGCTTCTTCATAGCCAGCACCAAACAGTCTTTCCTTCTAAAAACTGCATGTGATATGGTACTTACCTAAGAGAAATCAAAGAGAGGAAAAAAAGGTGACTAAGAAAGGATAAAACCAAGTCAAACAGATACAGAGAACATTTCAAGTGTTCTTTAAGAAGTCAGGCCTTGTCGTTGACTATGCAGAAAGTGGAGTTACTTAAAAGATGCTTATGTGCTATGAATGCTGTAACACCAATTTCCTTTGGCACCTTAAGTATTGGAGACAAACTTCAATTACAACAGCAGTCAAAATTTTTCTATAAAGCTAAAATTTCAAGTCATCAACAGATTTTTTGGGGGCAAAGTAAGTCCTCTTGCGCAGGAATCAAGACCTAAGTACTTATTAAAAACTTTGTCTACTGAATTTTACCTCCATATATGACAGATTATTTAATCCTTGCTGTAACTAAAAACATTTGGGCATTCACATTCTGAATAGACAATAATGAAAAAAAACAGTATCAAAAAAACTCACCAGAATTTCCTTTGTATGCAATACCATGCTGACTTAATAAATCTTTAAGTTTTTTTATTTCCTTAGAAAGTTGCTTGTATTCCTAAGAAAGAAAATACATTTAAAATGGCTCTCCCACTCTCCAAATGCATACACAAAATGGGAGTTTATAAAAAATAACGTGTCTGTGCACAGCTGTTGCAGCTTTTGACTTAAAAACTGCTCATTCCAAGAACAAGGCCTAAATTTTATAAAAAGATATATTTCTCTGTTGCCAAAACAGGAGCCAGCTTTTTCCAAGTGCAAGAGCAAAAATTAGGAGTGCTTTCTGTAATTATTTCGGAACTATCCTCTAACTAGCATTTTATCATAGCACAAAATTGCATTCATAAGTTTGCTACAGGACCAGCCTTATTTTATTTTATATCCTAATGCTACAGTCTGGAAATTTGTCACCACCTCAAGTCTTGACCTAGTAACTTCACGTTCTTGCTTTCAGGGGTTTCTGTTAACTTACAGAGCCAGGGATTGCTTAGTACTTTTGATACTCAAACCACATATGTGAAATCTCGAAGAAGCCCCAATTCTTTGTTGTGTTTTGGTTTTTACACAAATCAAGAAAGAGCAAAAGATTAACTATTTAAGATTCTGTGGTTACCAAAACAGCCAACTTTATGTCAATTAAGCTATGATGAAGCCAGAAAAAGAAGTAGAAATTATTAAATACTGTATTGTTAACTATTGAAAAAAAAATAGGTGAATATTCCAGCTCCTAACAGTACCACATCAAAATGGTGATCTTGATATAAGTATATTCAGCTTAACCACAGTTTATTTGGTTATATTCAGGAATTATTATGTGGTGTTTTGTCTTTGCTACATTTTCAAATAAAATGACAACAGCAGCTTCTTCTCTGCGTTATAGTGAATTAATCCCCTTCCATGCTCTTTTTTTGATGTTCAGTTTGCGCTCTTTTAGGCTGAGCACACCTTCTACCTCTATTTTCCCCATTTCAATTCTGTTGCAAAAGGACTGTTCACACACATGAAAGTCATTCAGAAATGGACACAGCATTGATCATTCTGCCTTTTGCTTGTGTAACAGCCAACGCATTCTGACACGAGTCTGGGTAATTATCCACAGAGGCAAGTGTCAACATTCCCAAGGCTGGTTACACATTTATTTTCACGAGTAATTCCTTCCTATTTCGAGGCTGATATTCCCCAGAAAGAGTACTTACAAGGCGTTCATAACCCAAGCGCCTAATTCCTACATACCCCCCCGTCTTCTTATTGGGCATTCTGTTGTGCTGGTTCGTTTCTGACTTAAGGGCTAGCATAAAGATATCAAATCACTCTGTATGCAGACTGTTACATATTGAAACCAGAAAAGATAATCCCATGAACAGATTTCAGCTGAATCCAAAGAGTATTTACATAATGCTGTCACACTGATACTGTCATACAGTAAAAAGGTAGCCTTTTAATTCCACATTGTAAATATTACATTCTATACCTTACTGCACTTCTCCACTGTTTCAAATTCCAGACTTATTTTCTTATTCTGTTTCTCAACTTCCTTTTCTTCTGTTACTTTTAGAAGTCCTGCTTCCTCAAAAATCTCTTTCAGTGTTTTTTTGTATCCCTAAAAAAGAAAGTTTCCAAAAGACAATAGATCAATCCACCTGACTCTCATCTCTGCTTGCAATCTCCACTGGCCATTCCAATTCCTCAAGCTCCACTGTAGAAAACTTTACAAATACCAGTTGATACAGCAGTTACAGAGCACAAAAATTACTATTTGCCAACTGCAGAATAAATGCATCCATTCCAAAAGGAGAAACTGCAGAACCCAGGTTTGGCTATTTGACAGCAATTGTTCTGGACGAAATAGAGTTGGAAGAAATTAACAAACCTGGTCAGTTATTAGTTCATCATACAGAAGCTGCTCTGCTTCATCCCACCTCCTTTGTAGTGCTTCAGTCAGAGTCGGATAAACTGAAAAATGGAAGTCAAACCACGTAAAAACCAACAGCACTGTCCTGCATTAGTTAAATGCTCCTCTAGTAGCATGCACACATATTTGTTTTAAGAACTCAATGTTTCTATACAGTACATAGTCTCTACTGCTTTCAAGAGTTGGGGTTAAACTTAAATTCTGCTTCACACATTTAAAGTTTCTGGAAAACGCCACCAACCAAAATTTTCTTCTCTTATTTCCAGCTAGAAGGCCTCATATTTCTTTATTGAATGTAATTCTAACTGAGTTCTCCCTTTTTGTAATATAAGTAAATGAGCAGATACTACAGGGCTGATTCTGACAACGAGTCCAAGAAAAAAGCAAAAAATCACTCGCTGGGTCTATACTAGCTATGACAATTTATTTGAGAAATACCTATGTGTTATAATGACTGGGATTGAAAATAAACAACTTCGTATTATATGTTACATTTAATACTCCTTTATATCAAGTTACAAACTCAACAAACCTAAAAATTTACACTTTGAGGTTGGCGTAATATGCCAGCTGCTCTACACAGAAATTATTTTCTAAATCTTACCTAAAAGAGAGTGGGGATGGCACACGAGAGGAGTCTCAAATGTCAGAGAGTAAACACAAGTACTCGGCTCAGACACAAAAGCCAACTTATTGCTCTTTCCACAAACAAGATGAACCTAAACATCAGTAAAAACAAAGACGAGTGAAACAGCTCCACATGAAACAGGACCAGCATTGATGATCAATTCGCTGTCTTGCAATGCTAGCAGATGCACTTCTGTATATACTGTCATGTCAAAGCTTCCAGTGCTGTCACCCACAGAAAAAGAATCATAGCAAGCACATCTTCAAATTATTTTATCAAATGTGAAAATTGCTTCCTGTGATGGGAAATGACCCCCCCACGTATCACTGTTCCTTGGACTCCCAAGCACCGTATTTCCAGCAAGAATGAGAGTAAAAAGGAGGGTGAATAGGACACCCCTTAGAACCTCATCTGACATAAGCATAATTCACTTACCAAATTTTAGTTCTGACCATGTGCTAAATAAAGAGAACAATACACATCTAGCCTGTCGAAATTTGTTTTCATCTTTAAACTTGTAGCACCAGTATTTTCTGTCTGTTCAAAACTAAATGCCAGTGAAAGATTTGAATCACAATATCAAAGGTCATAAAAGAATAGTAATTCTTTCTGCAGCCCCTGTGGGAGATGAAGATGTTAACAAGGCACCTCCATTACAGTACAGAATATTTTAACCTTGGCGAAGACATTTTGTCCCTTATCCCATCTTCACATTAGTTATTATTCCAACTATATATACCTCTCTCTTAAGTATTGTATTGTCACCCATCATTGTAATAGCTAAACATCTTCTACACGAAAAACAGCCTGTTGTGAACTATATGGTATCTTTAACTCTTCTTCACGACAGTGATCTACGTCACGTGGGAATGTGAGGTTTAATTCATTGTATCTGTAAAACTGTGTAACACACTGAAATGGGAGGTGGAAAAATATTAATGAATAAAAGGATAAAGGACGTGTGCAAATCATGTGCCACACATTGGGCAAGTCTCCCTTCCTTACCCTTCTAGTTGAATAGTTACTTGGCACAGAGACTGTCCGAATGTGAAAAGGAACAATTTAACCACTCCACAAAATAAGAATTTCTACTTTTTCTTTAAAATGTACTCACACCAGAATCTGTTTCTCTTGAGCTGGTTCCTCTGCCACTCCCATGTATTTGATTCCTCCTTAATTCTCCTTGCATGCCCTCTGCTCTTGTTTTAACACCTTACTTAGCTTCTCAGCATGCTGTTCTTAACTGCCTAATTCTTTTCCTTTTTCCTGGATGTTCTTAGCACAATAGGCTGGCATCTTGAATTCAACAAATAGCTCTTTTTCTTTATTTTTCCTGACACAACTTACAAAGCACTATGTTTCTACAGTAGTGATAATACCAGAATATTCCACTCTATCAAGGGAAAAAAGAGTTAAAAGTAACCAGTGAGAATACATAAGTAAACTTATTCAAAATGGCGCATCCCTCCTCCATTCATTCACCTAGCTCCTACAGGAATTCATCTTTATGTTTTATATCACATCTTAAATGATGACTTCTTCAAGGTAGCAATTTTCAGTCTGTAGAGTGTCATGAGTGTGTGTAGAGAGTCATGCTGTCTGAATTAGCATAGTCTAGGTTATTATACCTTTGTCTGTCTGCTCTTAGTTTCACATGAGTCTCCTTCCCTCATCCACATTCCAACAAATGTGTTGTTGTCAATTTCCCATTCATGCCAGATTCTGAAAAAACCAGGACATCATTTTATTTTAAGTTACAGGAAAGAAAAAAGTGAACACTCAGGAAGAAATACCCTTACACCATGTTCAATTTAACTGTATATACTTCATTTTTGTTGTCTTATTACTTCCATTTCTTACAGCCAAGACCTTATAAACAGTGTAGTTTGTTATCCAGGCTGCTATATAGGGCACATCAACATTACTTTAAGAGCACAGTTTTGGATCAGCTTTCAGTTTGCAAACCATTTGCACTTATAAATCCATGTTTAAATTCAATAAAATACAGCTTATAGATCAATCCCACAACAAATTCCATGATGCTAAGTACCCTGCGCAACTTCAGATTGTTTGCAGGATTTTTAGTGCTGGTGAGAGGACCTACAAAAACTAGTCTCTACTTCTGCTAGTCCTAAAGCCAGTGATACTCTCAGCATCCTGATGTACCCTTTTCCTCTCACATTGGCTCACCAATTATTGTGCACATAGGAAAAAAAGAGACATCTATATACAAATATTTAGAAAGGCAGTAATTTTAAAGCAGTGCTCTGGTTTATTATTAAATCTATTTTAGGTCTTATGATTTGGATACTCTAGGATCTTTGAATACTTCGGGATACTTTTTTGGGTCTACATCAAGTCTTCTATTACCTTTTATTAAATATGTTTAACACAACCACTAGGCATAAAGCACTCATTTAATTTTATATACAAATATTTAGTATTTCGGTAGTTTTTAATTTTTGCTCTGTTTTCTTGTTTATTCTTTTTTAGGTCTTATGATTTGGATACTCTAGGATCTTTGAATACTTCGGGATACTTTTTTGGGTCTACATCAAGTCTTCTATTACCTTTTATTAAATATGTTTAACACAACCACTAGGCATAAAGAACTCATTTAATTTTTGTAAGGTTATATTCAGCTCAAAGTGAAAATAGTTAACAGACATGAAATCTTTGTTAATGTAAGCTGCAGTTATGCATTATTTAACTTCTCACATGAACACACCATACCTGCAGTTGGCACTGGTTATTAATCAACCTCCAGCTAAAATAGGAGGTTAGTATTTATCAACAAAAAAAAAATCTGAATTTTTCAAGATGGGGTATTTTTATGCATAATGCCTTGGGAACTACAATAACCTAAGCTGACCAGTAAAAGAATCTTAATTTTAAAACTGCCTCCTTTTTAACAATCTATAAAATGGTCTGCTAACAACATAGGTAAAACTTAAAGGTCTAAAAGCCTCACCCTAAAATCCCACTATAGGCGTTCCATCGAAAAGTCTGCTCATGCTGAGTGACGTTATGAAAAGGACAAAACTCATACTTGTACCTTGAAAAAAAAAAAGAAAAGACAAAGAAAATAAGAAATGTTTCAGACTGAAATAAAAAACTAGTTCGTTCCTAATAAATACATAGAATTAAATATCCAAATCCATTACTCACGTGGATTCCACAAAACTGAAACACTTCCCAGCAAGCCTAAAGAGATGTGCAGGGCCTAAAAACACCACAAAATTACATCAAGGAAGAATAATGTTTTGGTTAAATTTAAGCAAGTTACTGTGGTGACAAAACTGCAAGGAGTATGTGACAAATTTAGTTTTCTAAAGGAAAATAATTCCTTTCCTGTACGTAAGGAAATTTGTATCTTCCATATGGATTACCATATATTCCCACTAGTGCTATATTGGTTTGCATCACGATCTTTAACATTTTTCATCTTCAATACTCAGTGAAATAGATAAGCCTCTTTCTACAATAGAAATAAGAAACTCGTGCTTGGCAGCTGTCTGTCCCCAAAGACATCCAAACTCCTCAGGTTTACACTAGTAAAGCCCATTTGCTCAGAACGTTGACAGTGCTGCATATTTAAGTTTCACTGAGATTCTCGAACTAAGATACTCCTTTTCACAGTTTGCCTTCATGGTCTGACCCAGTTAGGATTCAACAAGAAAAACCTTTTACTGTCAGACAGGTCAGCAGTTGCAACTCTACTCTTGTAGAATTGACCATTCCAGCCTTGCTGTCAAAGGAATCCAAGACAGGTAACTTGTCATTCAAAAAAGGACCAAAAGTTCTGAACTATGTGCTACAGGCATATTTCAGTGTCCCTTGTTTAAGGTAATTTTGCGCGGAATAATGAAATATTTGTGAGGAAAGGAGAAGAAAAGAAATTACAAAGCAAATAAAACCCCATCCTGGATTCTAATTCCCCACTGCCAGGATTGCCTATGTGCTCTTTCCAAAGATCTAGACAAGCAATCCTAGAAACAAAGATCAGACCACCGGAATCATGCCCTCCGGAATGCCCTAACCACTAGGATACAGGCAGGTTCCCATGTGATTTTTCTGACTGTATGATCTTGCATTTCATTCTATGGATTATCATAGGCTTGGCCAAAGGGTTTGCCCTTCTATTGCATGCAACCTGTGCCTTAGTGATTAGGATGCTCTCCCCACAGAGGAAGAAAAGCAAATTTGAATGTCCCCGAGGAATGCATTAAACTCATGCCTCCATTTCCTGGGCAGATGCTCTAAAAGAGAAATTATAGGAACTATTACCCCAACTGTCTTGTAAAAGAAAAGAACAAGTAAGGTTTCCATGCTAAAGAAACAACTGTGCAAGACAAGGTTCCAGGTCCTAGATTCCAGTTCCAGACACTCAAAATTTTTGGCTACGCATAAGTTCCCACATCCAGGAAAGAAGGGTTTCTAGCGTACTGTCCTTTTAACTTTTTTCCTGCTATTTTTGGTGTCTTTCCATTCAGCCTTCTAACTATTACTAATCCCATTTCTAACTATTTCACTTTTCACATGCAATACATGCAGAATTAATATATTTGATTTGCATTTATAAAACACAACAGAAGACATTAAGCATAATCATGTTCAATGTCACCAAATCAAAATGCCTTTATTGAACCTGAACAAGGTTTAAGTCTGTGCTTAAGGTTAGCAGAGACAAGAGTTATTTCCTTTTGCTTACTCTTTGTATTCAGTGTTTATTTTACCTACTCTCCTCCATATACGGTCTAGAATTTTTTAGATTCCTGTTTATTTTGCAGAAGTGGTGGATTTATACTGCAGCACCCAGGCTTTGCGTGTGAAACTGAGCCTCCGTGATTTGTTCCGAGACTACTCTTAGGACTTTTTTTAAAACAATTTTTAAGTATCAAGTACTATCAGATGATGGGACAACTTTTATATAACAATCTCAAGGATGTCAGAGATTGTTTCAAGAAGAAAAAAGTTTTTAGTAAAGGTCAGAAGGATCTGTGACTGGCTCAAAAAACACAGAATAAAACATATGGATAGCACTGTGGCAAAAGCAGTCCAAACGGCACTGGGACATGGAACACCAAAGAGATTAATCTAGGTTTTAACCCTTCAGAAGCACAATAAAATGTATTTGTCCACACTTATTTTCCATGATGCTTATAAAATGACAAGTAAAATTACTCTTTGTCTGCACGAAGTCAAGGTAGCCTACCCTGCAAATGACTGTCACTAGATGATGAAAACAGTACAGAAAAGGTCACGCTTGCATATACCTGATATTGCAGATGGGGACATCTTTGGCTGCAGCCTATTTGTTTGAGGCAAGAACGGGTTATTCAACCTTTCAAAAGAAGAAAAGTTAGACGTTTAAGCCTGGGTTATGCATCTGACTATGGTTATATCCTCCCCTGCGCGAGTGTCCCACCCCCTACAGCCACGCGCGACGCGCGGGGAGCGGTGGCCCCAGCCCACGGGCCCACCAGCGGAGCCGGCAGAAGCGTCCCGGCCGGGCCCGCCCTTCCCTGGAGGAAGGGACGGGCTGGAGCGGGCGGAGCGGCAGATGAACCCGAGCCCGCCGGGTCCGGGTGTGTCGCAGG